GCTCAGCTGAACGTTTAATTTGCCAGTCACTGTAAGGGCAAGCTGTCCAAATACAAACTTTAAGCCTGGCTGTGTACTTGCGTTCTCGTGGACTTGTGATACATCGTCAGTCCGAGACCAAGTACTGTTCCAATTCAAAGTATTCATCAAGCCGAGTATGCTAAAAATTCCTGGATGTGTTCTTGCTCCTCCCATTTTTTCGAGCATGCATCAGTGGTGACTTGTGTGGACTTGGTACAGCCAAATATCCCAGAATGCATTTTGTCCAAAACTCAAATGCGGCAATGGCGGAGGAGCGCCACCAAAAACTTTTAAATATTACTCTTTCTGGATCACAAAATAAACTTTTTAAGTTATTTTCAGATGTCTGTTACCCACCAGCTCGATATCTGACTGGGAGGTCAAGGCTCACTAGAACAGTGGACAAATACAAAAAAAACCCTATGATCCGAAGCCAGACTCTTTATCGATCTGATCAGCTGTTCTTGTCACTTCCTACGGTGGATTATATCTCATCATGTTATCAGCGTGACCTATCACATGGACCTGTCCAACAACAACAGGAAGTGATGTTTGTTTTTTTTTCTCTCGGACACGCCAAACCTTGCGTGAAGCTTCGAATCTCATTAACGCCCTGCCTGAAGACGGTGGCCATTTGTCAGATCCTGATTCTGCCGACAGTGGGGATGAATCCAACTTCATCAAAGGGATTGACCCTTGCCAAAACAAGTATGTATATTGTTTGAAAAAATAGTTTTATGTTAGAGAAAAGTAAGAAGAATTTTGTGCGGAGAGGAATTTTGCGCCGCAAAACATTTTTGTGCGAATTACGCATCGTTATATTACTTTTGTGCTGGACAAATTGAACACAGTGTTAAATTCTTTTGTGTATAGTGTTGATAATGTTGAAGAGGAGGGAACGGAACTGAAGTCTCCTGCTCGACTGAAGCAGCCTCTACTCCGGAGGGAAGTAGAGGGAGAGGAAGGAGTCGGATGAGTTGTCCTCTGGCAAAAAGAGGCAAGAGCTTCAGGTCAGAGTCACTCTCCAGTGATGCACAGCTACCTGGAAGAGTGATAAGGACCCAAACAACTTGCCTCAACCTGTCTACCGAATTTCTTTCTAAAAAGAAAGCCAGATGTGGAGCTGCCATTTTCAGTATGTGTGGACAGTCCATCTCCATCTGAACTGTTCAAGATTTACTTTGACCATGCTGCTATCAAAACACTGTGTGCCAACACAAACAAAAATGCAGCTAAAAATATTGCTGCAGGCAAAAAATTCAAGTGGACTGAGCTCACAGAGGCTGAAATGTACCATTACACTGGCCTAACACTCTACATGGGGGTTCTAAAGCTGCCTACAATGAGAGATTTTTGGCATGTGAATTCGATTTTTCATGTGGAATATCTTTCTGAGGTCATGTCCAGACACCGGTTCCTCACCATCACTTGGAATGTTCATATAAGTGATCCTCATATGAAGATGCTCTCAATGACAGAAAAACAGGCACTGGTGATTATGACTGCCTGCACAGAGTACGTTCCCTGTATGACGTTTGCGTGTAGCCTGGAAAGCTGTATACTACCCACAGCAAAACCACGACGAGCTCATGGTCTATAACAAAGCCAGAGTTTTCCTGAAGCAATACATAAAAATCAAGCGAACAAAGCGGAGGATAACACTTTTTGTGCTGTCTGACAACACAGGCTACACAGTGGACTAACATTTATACAGGGGGGTCAACTGTGGTAACTGGGAAGGGGCTGTCATTTGCTGGGATGGCACTTATAAACAAAAACTACCTGGGAATGGGATATCACATTTATTGTAATAACTTTTATACCAGTCCAGCACTTTTTCACCACCTTCATGACCTGGGGGTTGGAGCATCTGGCACATTTCAGGACTGAAGAGTTGGAGTACCAAAAACCAAAGTTAACGCCCTGACAAAAAAATCTCCGGGGACACTATGAAAAAGATCTGCAAGGTTGAAGGACGACACAGAGCAGTTGAGGTGCCATAGCCATCAGCTGTAAAGGACTACAACCTCATGGGAGGAGTTGACCTGTCAGATTTTTTTGTTGATGAAGTACTAAAATGCTTGTGTGCAAACACAAACAAAAATGCTGCAAAAAATAACGAAAAGGGTAAAAAAATTTACTGGAATGAAATAACACCAGAAGAGCTACAAAAGTACCTGGGCTTGTTTACTTTACACTTTACAGTCTGCAATTTTCCAAAAATGTCAAACTTTTGGAGAAGAAACACAATTTTTCATGTTCCTTTTCCTGCCACTGTAATGTCCAGAGACCGTTTTATGGCCATCACTTCTAATCTTGGTATCAGTGATCCAGAAGAAGATGCGGCCAATGACAGAAAAAGGGCACAGAGGACTATGACATACTCCACCGAGTCAGGCCTCTCCTTGAGATGATGAGAAATCGTTGCATAAGTAATTACCACTCAGAGCAGCATATTTCAGTTGATGAGAGGATGGTTTCTTCAAAGCCAATATTAGCCATCAAGCAATGCATGAAGGCCAAACCCACCAAGTGGGGACTAAAAAATTTTGTTGTTGCTGATGTCAATGGCTACACAATAGACTTCAAGCTGTATACAGGGAAATCAAAGTTTTCATTAGGGAAAGGACCCTCTTTTGATGTGGTTACATCACTGGTGGACAAAGACGATCTGGAATCGGATTAAATTTTTTACTGTGATAACTTCTACACCAGCCCAGCTCTCTTTCAACACTTGAATAACCAGGGATTTGGGACTTGTGGTACATACAGGCAGGGCAGGCTGGGTGTTCAATCCACTCAGGAAAATGCTCTACATAAAAGATCACCAAGAGGCCCCATTTGGTGGATCAGGGATGGTGACCTTTTATTTGTAAAGTGGATGGACGGTCGAGAAGTCTCTGTCAGTACTACCGTCCACCCTGTGTCCAGTAGGGACATAGCGTTACGCTGGCAGAGAAAGGAAGATGGTCATTTTGAGAGGGTTTCTGTCCCTAGACCGACAGCTGTGACTGAGTACAATAAATACATGGGAGGAGTGGACACATCAGACCAGATGCTGGGAACAAATTTAGACCATCGCAAAACTAGAAGATGGGACAGCTTTCCAGCATCTTCTGGACGTTGCAGTTACAAACAGCTTCATCATTCACAAAGAGTTGTGCATCAGCAAGCAACAGAAGCACAAGACTCGCCAGGCCTTCCAGGAGGAGCTCGCTGCACATCTCCTAGGTGTTTGCTTGGATACTGAGTCCCCAAGTCAAGGACACTTTCCTGTCCCTACAAGCACTGTGGATATGGGAAAGAGGCAGAGGGCAAGCATAGGAAGGAAGCAGTGCACTGTCTGTAAGAGAAGCACTCCTTGGAAATGCCAACAGTGCAATGTAGGCCTTTGCCTGCAGCTTGAGAGGAACTGTTTTTTCGAGTTCCACCAGGGACCAAAAATACCTGGACTTGCATAGAAAACAGAGACCCCCAGAAGCAAAGTATAGTCCCAAAGTTCATATATTTGTTGTTGTTTAGTGTTTTATAGTTCAAAGTTTAAATTGCAAATTCTAAATATTTTATTTGTGTACACTTTGAGTTCTTATTCAATAAAAATCTGTAAGATTGAATTTAAATTTATTTTTTGTGTTTTCCCGTTATTATTCCCTTGTTACACATCTATAGCATACAGTAAAACAAAAAACAAACAAACTACCAAATGTTGAAAGAAGTAGTAGTCCTGAAAAAAAGGGACAAAGGCACACACTTACAGCAGATTTTATGAGATTTTTACAGCTAAAATAACAAAATAATTCCAGGCAGCCTGTTTAATATAATAGGGTTTAAAGGGCTAACTTTGTGATGTAAGTTGAGCAAGCAGGCATGCTTTTGCTTATTTCATCCACATATATATTTGTGTCATCCAGCAGTTCAGCTGTAGCCTTAGAATCAGGGTCTTCATTAACCGGAGACAGTGTGTCCGCTGTGAGGAGTGCTTTGCCTGGAGTGTGTGAGATAGTATAACTGTACCTCATAAGCCTAAGTCGGAACCACTGGATTCTGGGCGGAAGCTCAGTTAGTGCTTGTTGCTCCCCGTCTGACACCATGTTTTGAGGCTTAAGGATTAAAGCAACAGTTTGTAGAGCAACTCAAACTCGTACTTTATTGTCAAAAGGCTCCCCGAACCATTTTTCTCCTTAGCAAGCTGCCGGTCTATCCGATGTTCACGCCTTGTTAAACCTTTCACAATAAAACAGGTTACACTAAAACAGATAGTTGGCTGACAGTTTGTTGTTACACTCTGGAAATGGAATGAAGGTGAGTGTTATTAACCCTCTGGGACATGCTGCACCTCAAAATCACGTGACCGATTTAAGCTGACAGCAACTAGATGTCTTGGCCATTTACCGAATATATCTGTAGATGATGTTCATCGACTTGGCGATATTTTCCCCCCGCGCCTCAGAGCAAAACAGAGAAAGGATTCAAAGAAAGGATTTCTCAGTATTTGTGTACAGTGGTCCCTTGTTTGTCGCGGGTGTTAAGTTCTAAAAATAAGCCGCGATAGGTGAAATCGCGTAAAGGCTGTAAAACTGTAAAACCCCTCACTACATACTTTTTTCATACAGACATGAACATTTTCACACTTTTCTCTCTTGTTTAAACACCCTCAAAGTTCAAACCTTTGTAGAAAAATAAGTCCAGTATTACAGAATGAAACCAAAGATCAAACCCTGTTTTCAGGTCCAGAACACGGGAATAGAGCAGCTGCGAGAGAATTCAACATCAATGAATCATTAATGAATCAATGAATCAGAAGTCCAACTTTTTGAGCGATGGTTATCTTCCTCTGCCTTTTGGGTGCTACCGCAGATGCCTTTGACGGTGCAAAACGTTTCGTCGACATTGTTTTTGTTGGGAAGAAAAGTACAGCACTTCAGAGTCACACTGCTAGCAATCGATTTAGCGATTCTGTACGGCACAGGAGAGATGGCACGGAGGAGATCAACAATGGTCTACAGCCGATCAGGATGCACAACACAATGCGGTGTAAAAAAAAAGAAAAAAGCATGCAAAATTGCACTAAAAAAACCCGCGAAAGGGACCACTGTAATTTTGAAGATGAGTCACAACATACCCTTCGTAAATACTAATATATAGATGCCCTTACTAGCAATCGTTCATTTAATTTTTCTGTGGCTTTTTTCACGGTTTGTTGGCATGCTGTATTGGTGTGTACTTGACTAGCTGATATCGACTTTACGGGGAAACATCTGGCTTTGACTATTGTTCACCTGTAGTTTGAATGCTGAACATTTGCCTGTTTAAATGATAAGAACTGTCACTATACAGAGATGTGCTTCTGATTGTGGACGATGTGTATTCTGATTTTGTAATGCAGTTCTGCTTGTGTTGAGTGATGTAAACAACCAATCGGTCTACACTCTTCAAACGTCAAAATCAGTGTTGCCAACTTAGCAACTTTGTCGCTATATTTAGCGAGTTTTCAGACCCCCTTAGCGACTTTTTTCTAAAAAGCAACTAGCAACAAATCTGGCGACTTTTTCTGGTGTTATTGGAGAGTTATTTATGACGACTTTTTGACGTGAAAACGCGTATCGCTCTTACTCTCAACAAGCAGCGGTGCTGCCGTGGGCACCTCACCCATTCCAAAGTGCTCACAGGCGGAGGATAGTCCTCCCCCAGCTGCTATCAGGGCAGGAGACGTTCACACCTATGCGTCCAATGAGCGAAGCCGCTGCTCCCGCACTGACTGTAACGCAGTCAGTTCTTCTTTTACTGTTATGCTGTTTTGTGAATCACTAGGTTTAAAACTACTAATAAACACACACACACACACACATACACAAAGTAACTCCACCAGAGTGCCAATTTCGGGTCACTTTTGCCAGTCCAAGCCCGGATAAAGGATCAGGGTTGGAATTGTGACATTAAAAAACAATAATTGCTAAAAGAAATTTAATTCGTAGT